TTCACTGCAAAATGGTTTTTTTTCCACTAAAAAAGCAATGAGATAAGCACTGTGTTTTAAAGATATTTCTCTTGCCTAACACTCTTTCAAACTCTAAATTAACCTTATTTTTAAAAAAACTTTGCTTTGGTTCCAAAATTTCCATTAGATCTTTCATTTTTAAGTATATCTTACCGTGAACTCACTATGGCCATATACCATATACATTTGAGTATAAGCCCACCCGAATATCAGCTGAGGTACCTAATTTTACCACAAAAACTGCATTAAAAATGTGCTGAAAAACTCAGCTTATACGCAAGTATATACAGTAAATATCTGTAATCTATGGATAAATTGCATTTTATGGATATGCTAAAACACTGAAAAAAATTCCCAATAAAAGGTCTATATTGGGCTTATTCAAAATGGACTATCTTTCTTTTATCCTCATTCATCCCAGCCTGTTAGATCAGCAAACCCCCTCCCTGACTTTCATCATGACAAAACTTTGGGGGGGCGAAATTCAGTGAATTGTCCACGTGGCCTTGTATTGTTGGGCAGACATAACATTGATGGGGTGTCGATCAATTTTCTTCCCCTCTTGTCTCTTTATCTCATACCTTTGGGAAAATTCTCCCCTAAGAACAACAGTTCAGTGGGATTGTTACAGGATTTTCAGAAACAACAGATCCAGTGGATCCTGAGGAGATCTTGACCACAGAACAGAAACCAGTAAAGAAGGGCCCATCTCCTGGACTCCACACATTTACATTCCATGGCCCTGAGAGTAAAATCAAAGACCACAAGTAGGTCTCTTCCTGTGAATGACTTAAAGCCTCCTGTCAAGCATCTCTTCACCTGAGAGAATGTTCTCCCATGAACAGAGAGCAGAGTTAGAGAGATTTCTACTCATGTCACCAGGGAGACATGACAACCCTATAAGCAGGCACTAGCTACAGATGGAGAGATCACCACTGCTGATCTCATACAGATGTGTGGATGTGAAATCTGGCAAGCAGGAGTAAGACATACTAAATGACTACTCAGCTCAAAGTGATCCTAGGGGCAAGGTTGAACGGGGCTTGTGAGTTTCTGAGACGAACTCTTTACCCGAATAGAAAGTCTTGTCTTTCTCCCTTGGAATAGCTGGGGGTTTTGAACTGCTGACCTGTGGTTAGCAGTTCAATGCATAACCGCTACACCATGACTGTGGAGCACAAATGGAGACTGTTTTACCAGAGATCGATTGTGCATGATGGGGTTACAGTTCAGAAGAAAATTTCCCAGAGCCAGCTATCCCCTCTCTCTTTTTTTTTTGGTTTTTGCTTTTGCATATACAAATATAGTGAATACACAGTATGCAAATACATAGACCAGAAATAGAGTGAATATAGGGAATACACAGAATATCATTATCATCATCTTTATCATACTGGTCATCAACATGCTTGAGACATTTGGGGGCTTTTGCCATTTAATATAAGGATTTCTGGTGGCACTGTCGAGTAAACATTGGACTGCTGACCACAAGGCTGGTGGTTCAATGCCGCCAAGTCAATCTGGGAAGAAAGATGAGGCTACCTGCTTTTATAAATATTTACCACGTTGTCAATTCTATTTAGCATAGCTATAATTCAGAGTCAACTCAAGAACAGTGGGTTATAAGTGAAATCTAATATATTTCACCATCTAGTGGTTCTTTTCTATTGAAATCATTGTTAGAAGTATAATTAAATATTATTCTATATAATTCATCTATATTTTGCATATTAACATGATCCCACAATAAGTCTAGGGGCTAGCAAGCATACCTTTAGAACAGCTATAAAAGAGATGATGGTATGGTATCTATCACATAAATATGGGGTTTATTGCAATGGGTTCAAACATAAGAATTATTGTGAGGATGGCGCAGGCCCGGGCATACGCTGTCGTACAGTGGGATCTCTATAAGTCTGAATTCAACGGCACTTAACAACAAGACAGAAGGGAAGAATAATGGGGGTTAAAGGATTTATAGCAATCACGGGGGCAGAAGAAAATAGAAAGAGTAAGATGGACCATGAAATAAAAACCTCAGAGTGGATGAGAAAGGATCAGATAAAGTCAAAGAGATGCAGACTTGAAAGGGAGACTGGCCACTGTGGATTTTGAGATAGAAGGGACTGGAACGAAATAAAGAATAAAGTGACAATAGGGAGGTTGGAAATTCTAGGAATTCAGATAAGGAATTTGGGTTTGTTGGGTGGATGGTGGATGTTGTTTGGAAAATCACTTTCTCCTTTCTTCTTTCCGGCAGGAGCAAGGAGAGCAGACTGCAAGGAAAAGTCCAAGCCCTCAGTGCGGTATTCTAAGGACGAGGCTTCATTATTATTATTCCTGCTAGAGTACCAACTTCCCAAGTGCTTAGGTTTCTGTTGTTTGATTGCTAAGTATAATTTACATACATTTCTCATGTAATGGTTGGGACCATTGTTTGTGCACAGCTTCCCATGTGAAGAAGTCTAAAATCAATGATAGCATGGGACAGATGGGTCTCAAATCTTACTCTTGGGTACTTTTAGAAGTGTAGGTGTTAGATGTGACAAAATAATAATAATTTATAAATTATCAAGGGTTCATGGGGAGGGGTCAGTGGGGAGGGAGGGGGAAAATGAGGAACTGATACCAAGGGCACCAATAGAAAGCAAATATTTTTAGAATGATGAGGGCAACAAACGTACAAAAGTTCTCGGCACAATGGATGTATGCATGGATTGTGATAAGAGTTGTATGAGCCCCCAATAAAATGATTTTTTTTAAATAACATAAAAGTGTAACTTAAAAATTCTGTAAGCCTTGGGTTTCCTTCTGGGGAAAGTAAATATGCTGACCTCAAAAGCGGTGATGCGATGAAATGAAATACGCAAAGTACATGGGACATAGTGAGTGTTCAACAGCTGATATTATTTCTTTAATATAAACAACTGTGGAGCCTTTGACTTAGTCTTTGTCTACCTGCTGCTTGTCTTTAGTATTGCTCAGATGGGAAAGCTCTCTGATAAACCTGGAAGTGACAGGGTCATTTACCTGGTTTACTGGTTTGGAGATAAATGATATTAGAACCTATTTGTGATAATAGTAAGACTAATATGAATCTATGAAAAGCTACATATTAAAAGGTATCTATTGAAGAGTAAGGAGTCCTGGTGGCACTGTTAGGTAACCATTAGATAGCAAAGTTTAAGACTACATGTGTGTTTTTTTAATCATTTTATTGGGGCTCATAGAAATTCATCACAATACATACATCAATTGTGTAAAGCACACCTATACATTTGTTGCCCTCATCATTCCCAAAATTCGCTTCCCTATTGGGTTCCTGGAATCAGCTCATTTTCCGTTTTCCCCTTCCCCTCCCTCCCCACTCCCCCCTCCCTCATGAACCCTTAATAATCGACAAATTATTATTATATCTTATCTTACACTGCCCAGCGTCTCCCTTCACCCACCCTTCTGTTGCCCATCCCCCAGAGAGGAGGTTATATGTAGATCCTTGTGATCAATTCCCCCTTTCTACATCCCCCCTTTCCCTCTCAGTATCGCCACTGTCATGTCTGGTCCTGAGGGGTTCATCTGTCCTAGATTACCTGCGTTTCCAGTTCCCATTTGTACCGCTGTGCATCCTCTGGTCTAACCAGGTTTGCAAGGTAGAATTGGGGTCATGGTAGTTGGGTGGAAGGAAGCGTTTAAGAACTAGAGGAA